CCCTCCCCCTCCCCCATCGCCCCTCCCAGCCTCCAGCTGCCCCAGCCCCACCCCCGTGGGTACTTGCTAGGACCTGGGGCTCCTTGTTCCCTATGACCTCGCTCCCCACTGCTCCACGCTTAGCCCTGTCAACACATCAGAAAGCAGACAGAGTGGTTTGAAGAGCACCTCACTTCCCACCCCTGAGCTGGGGGCAGAATGCCAGCCCCTCCAGGTCCAGTCACATACTCAGTGCCCCCAGCAGGCCGGAGAGGACCCCTTCCTCACAGCCCTTGCTGGTGCCTGCCCTGTCCTGGGGAGCAACTGGCCAGGGCCTGACCCCAGCTGGACCTTGCATGGCCCTGAGTCTGCAGCACGGTTTCCAGAGCAGCTGCCCTGGGGGTGTGGCAGTGACTGGGACAGTGGGAGGGAGAGAGGGCCCCTCACCATCACACTGACCCCTGTCTGGGGGATACCCCCAGACTCCCCTCAGCACCCACTGTGTGCCAGGCTGGGTGGGGGCATGGCAGGGGAGAGGGGGGTCACAGCAGCACTGTTGCCACCTGTGGGCAGAGGCCATGGGCCTCCTTCCTGCCAGCATGAGTCACAGGAGCCTCTGCCCTGGCAGAGTGTGGAGCCCGGGCCCCAGCGCCCCTCCTCCAAAAGCTGGCATCGCCTCTGCACAGAGCTGGCGGGACCCCGGGGGCAGAGGTGTGGCCGGGGCAGGTGGAGTCTGCATCAGAGTTGGGGCCATCGGTAGGTCACAGCTGGTCCAAGCTGTCCCCGCGTGGGTTGGGGGCACCGAGCAGGGGGACAGCAGAGCAGAGGAGCCCAGGGGTGGGGGGCAAGCCCCGCCCCTCCTGGAGCCTCGACCTCCACCTGAGAAAGGGGGATAAATGTGAGCGCCGCTGAGTCCCCGGTGCTCTGGGCCTGCAGGGGTCGCAGAGGGGCACAGACTAGTGGCACCTCGGCCCTTTCCTCTTACACAAGAAGCTGAGGGAAGAGGGAAGTTCTCCCTCCTCAGAAGGGGAAGCAGGTCCAGGCGGCCTTACAGGAACCAGGCAGCCTGATGTCTTCCATCCGCCGCCCTCAGGAGTGTGCAGCGGGGGCTCTCCCCTCCCCGTAGATGAGTCACGGAGCAGAAGAGGTGACCTCCCTTCTGCAGGCACGACTGGGGGCAACCATGCCCCACTCTCTGGTGGCATCAGTGCCCCTCAACCACACGCTGGGCTAGTGGCCGGTTGGAGAGGGTCCTGGCTGGCTTGAGGGGCTCCATATCCCCCACTCTGGCCCTCCCAAACTGCCCATCACTTGTGGGCTTTCAAAAATAAAAAGTAAAACCGCAACCACTGGGGCTGCTGGGCGCTCCGCCCCCCCGCCCCCCAGCTACCCTGCTGCTGGCGAGTGAGTGCCGGGGTAGCTGGCCAGAGCAGAGGCAGAGCCAGGTCTTGGAGGGGCTGAGAAGGGTGCCAGGGTGGGGTCGCTCGCTCCCTGCTCAGTTTAAACAAACTTCCCTTCAGCTGGGCCATCGCAGAGCCAACTTCCCCCAAAAGAGGCACGTCTGAGCTGGAGTGGGAAGCTGAGTGGGGAGAGGGAGATGTTCCAGGTCTTGGCACAGCCCAGGCAAAGGTGCAGAGGTGGGACTTGTCAGCGTGCCTGGGGGGCTGGGAGACAGGACGGCCTACAGACTTGAGTCTCCACAACCCTCCTCCACCTGTTGCAACCACCGTGGAGCTTTCCATAGGCTCCATCCATGGTTTGAGAGGCCTGACCTGCTGGAGGCTTCAGCCAGTCCTGCCTTCTCTGGGTCTGGGGTCAGAGCGGAAGTGAGGGGGGGGAACCAGTGCCAGCCCCATATTTTCGTCTGCCAGACCAACTGGCCCCCCAGGCCCGACCTTGCCAAATGTTCTTGGAGGTGACCCCTTCCCCAAGTCCTTTCTGAGCCTAGGGCTGGGCACACAGAAGGCACTTAAGTGAGGGGCCCAGGGCCCAGGGGGCTCCTCGTCTTGGCCCCTGGAGGTTGCTGAATTTGGGGGCTCAGAGCTGTGGCTGCTTCCCCCCCGCATATGCCCCCTACTGCCCCTGCCCAGGCCTCAGGGGCCCACCCCCCACCATGTAGAACCCATCATAGTCTTTGGGCGCCGCCTGGTGGCCAGATCTGGTGGTGCCTCTCCCAGCCCGAATCCACCTTTCCGGGGACCCCCACACGGATCTAGGGGTGCAGCCCCCGAGTGACAGGGAGGGGAGACCGTCTCTGCAGCCCCTTGCTTGCTCTTAAAAGTTCACATCATGAATCTTTGGTTATTACCAATAGTTGGTATATTACCGATATTTGGAATCTATTGGTTATTACCAATATTTTGCTGGTGCGGTACGTGTGATGTCAAGAGGCAAGCTTGAGCCAGATGCTGCAGGCCACCCCAGGCCACCCATGTCACTGTCCTGTCCCCGGGCTCTGATGCAGGGCTGGCCACATCTCCTGGCTCATCCCAGTGAAATCCCCAGATCCTTGCCAAGTGAGCTCTCACTTCCTGTTTGAACGTGGTAGTAACAGCTGAGCCCCAGATCAGCAGCCGGCGGTCACTGGGAACTTGCTGGGAATGCAGATTCCCGGGCCGCCCCAGCCCATCTAGGACTCCAGGTGGGTCTTCCAACAGGGTCCGTCCGGCCCTGCCCTTAGCCTCTCGTCCTCCGAGGACTTAGCGCCCCCTGCCGGGCATCTGCCGTC